GTCCAGACAGAAGAGTTATGAGAATCGGAAGATTTGCGATGTTGCATTCATTATTGGAGAGCATGTCTTGCTCCGAATTTTGCTTATGAAGGGCGTTAAGAGGTTCGGGAAGAAGGGCAAGCTGAGCCCAAGATTCATTGGTCCATTTGAGGTGTTGCGATGAGTTGGGGAGGTTGCTTATAAGCTTGTCTTACCTCCCAGTCTAGCAGGAGGTCATCTGGTATTCCATGTTTCTATGCTCCGGAAGTATCACGATGATCTGTCTCACGTGTTGGATTTCAGTTCAGTCCAGTTGGACAAGGATCTATCTTATGTTGAGGAGCTGGCGACTATTTTGGACAGGCAGGTTTAAAAGCTGAGATCAAAGAACATTGCTTTAGTGAAGGTTTAGTGGAGGTGTCAGCCGGTCGAGGAGGCGACTTGGGAGATTGAGCAGGATATCGCAACTATAAGAACTCGTAAACTTTAAATCCTGGATCCACCTCTGCATGCTTACTGAAACCTTGCAACACATTAGCAACGTTTAGAACAATATTCATTTGCATAAAATCATTTTAAGTTAAATAGAAGAGGTCTGAATTCACCAAAAACCAACCGCCAGAATTTTATCCATAATGTAAGTTTTTAACAAAAAAATATCTACCCCAAAGGCCTGAATTCACCAAAAACCAATAGCTAGAATTTCATCCATAATGTAAGTTTTAACAAAATAATCTATCCCAAAATTAATTTCTAAATTTGTTAAACTTCACAATTTGATGTTATCTTCAGTTCTTCTTCTTTTTCTTGCTTCATCTTGGAGTTTGTTGAGTGTGAGAGTTGATTTCCCCTTACAAGTTGCCTTAGTTGGTGAATAAGGCAAATTTTATGGCATTGACACTCTATCTGCTTCTTCACAAAATTTAATTTTTCTTGTTCCTGTTGGTGGCCTTACTTGCAGATTTCTAACTACAAGTCTTGTTTCTGATTCAGCAATACCTATTGGCCTCAGAGGTGAATCTTCATCAGTACCAATAACAGGACATAGCCTTGTGATAAGTCAGTTATGACATAAGAGAAATCTTGTGTCTGTTGTGTCACAACTTCAGTGTCAAAGTCAATTCCTTCATCTTCAGAAGCAGCAGATGCAAGTGGAAATTCCGGAACTGAGGTCTAACTTGAATCGCCATTTCCTTTCCCTTTTCTTGATTTTGAAGTGTCTGCATTAGTTTTCTACTGGCACCCAAAAAAATGATTAGAAGTCGTGACAAATCATATAAGCTAAATCAGAAACCTTTGCCTTGAAACATCCCCTAGCATTGTGGTTTTCTCCACCACAATTGATGCATGTCATCACAACTCCCTTTCTTGAGTAACTCTACTCCTAATCCTTTGCCTTGCTTTATTTGGTTCCCGGGTCCCCTTTACTCTAGGTCTGCCTACAGACATAGAAACATCAGTCATTTCCATCACCTAAGCAAGATCTACTTTTCAGAATTTTTTACCCCTAACTGTCTAGAACTTATGATTGTAAGTCAATGAATATGCTTCTTTGTTGTAGTACCAGCGGATTTGTGATCACCCTAAAAAGGTAAAATTATGTTAGTAATTAGATAACTTTGGAAAGAAAATGGAAAAAAAGTTAATACTATATGCTCATACCTTGTCATATAATATAGCCTTGATTGCATGGGACATGTGATCCCAGATAATTTCCACACTCTATATGTACATTTTTTTTGTTGAAGATCCACAATATGTCTATCATCGCCTTGATTAATTTCATCTCCAAAATCACCATTAAACTCAATCTTCCAGTAATGTGTTATTGCCATATAGTCATTATACAACTTCAAAGCAGTTGGACTGAAGTCACCATTCCATTTACTAATTTTATCTTTATTTGTAGCCAACAACTTCATAACCTTTACCTTTATCTCCTGTAACATCTTGATGATTGGTATCTGCCATGCTTAAAGAATCCATTGAATGATTCAATGAAATTTTTATTAACCATCATATTTTTATACAAAATATCAAAATATGCTCTACACCAAGCTTGGGGTGGATAATGCAGTAGGTCTTTAGCAGCAAAACCATCATCAGATAACTCACCCAGATTGGTAAGTTGATCTTTGGAAACTTCTTCAAAAGTGCTCCAAGCACTCCACCATAAAAGTTTATTCATATGTCTAGTTCTTGACTTTTTCTGCCAATTAACTTCAATATGTCTCACACAAAACCTATGGTGAGCATTAGGAAGTGCGTTCCTTACAGCATCAAGTAAATCCTATTGACAAAAAAATGTCAAAAATAAAACTATACAGAATGAAAAAAACAAATAAAAGATGAAAGTAATGCCTTTTCATATAGATGAAAGTAACTCCATGACCATCATTTAGCTCCAAAGAAAGCTTTTGAAGCTCAATAAATCATTCCCCAAGTTCTAGCATTTTTTTTGTCTATCACCCATGCAAATGGGTAAAACTAATTCATACTATCTTGATCAATAGCCACTAGCAACTAGCCCTTAAATCTACCTTAAAAAAAGTATCATACAACTCAATAAGAGGTCTCAAGCCACATTTCCAACCTATCTTCAGTGCATTAAAGCATATATACATCCTTAAGAACTTTCTTTAATTTTTCCTTCTTCAAGAGCATATTTGGAAATATTAATTACAATATCAATGACATGATTAGACTACCTAAGTTCTTGCCCATAGGCCTCAAGTTTCTTAATTGCCCTCTAACTTCTTAAGTGCCAAATCCTTGGTCATTTTAAGCTTAGACATTAACACATTTAATTCAAACGCAGTCTCTAACTCATCTTTCTAGTTTGTCAGCTTATACTTAGGGTTATACTGCATTTTTCACTTAAATAGGTGTGCTAAAGTAATCAGCCCTAGAATTTTTGAAGCAAGGATCACATCTTTCTATGTCTTCATTTGATAGCTACCATTCTTGTCATCTTGTGAGATATAACATCTAAAGGGACAACCAGCATCACACTTATAGCTTGCCCTGGTTGAATCAGTTTTGAGTACCTCAACCCTCTTCTATTAGCTAATGCATAGAAGTTCACTGTCCTTTCAGCTTTTTTAATATCATTAAATGTCATACCTAACTCCGACTCCTTAAAATGTTTTAACCTATCAGTTACAACCCTTTTTCCTGTTCCAATAGCTTTAAGTTCTGAATAATCATATTCAGAACCTTCTAAATCATCAAAAACACCACCACCCAAACTACTTTCACATTCAGAAGTTGTATCAATGTCTAAAAAATATTTCTCTCTATGATGAGTAATATTTTGAGCAAACACCGTAACTTCAAACTCATCCACAGCAAAAAGGTTAATCACATTGAACTCTTTAGAAAATAATTACTGAAGTGTCCTCACACCATCATCATCATGTATCAGGTAGTACCTCCCCGAAGGTCCAGTAACTAAAAGTTGTTCGACTGAGCTAAACCCTAATTTTTTGGTAAATTTTTCGCACAAACTTTTATAGTTGACAAGAATCATAACCAGACAAAATGTACAAGTATTTTTATTATACACTTGATTAGGTGAAAATTCAATTACCCCCATAATGAAATACTAGGTCCATTTTAGCAATCATTTTCAGTTCGTATCACATGCAAAGGCATAAAAAGAAGGACAAGTGAAGGTCCACATCAGTAAATACAAAACCATAATCAATACACAAGTTAGACTTAAAACCCCTTAAAAGCAGACGGTTTCAATGCAAGACCACAACCAGACAATAAAATCATCAATTAATATACATTATTCACTGTATTTAAATATTTAGTAGGATAAAGTACAAAATAAAATTAATAAACAACAACCTCATTATAAAACAAGAAATCCTAACCCCACATATAGAATATAGACGAAAGAAACCCTAATCCACAAATAGAAAAAAGAAAATAAAATAGAAAGATAACATACCTTGAAAAAGTATCCAGCCTTTGAATTTTCTCTGAAAAGGAAACCCTAGAGGAGCAATTTTATGGTGTGGTCGGCTTAATGGTGAAAGCAGAAATTGAGAGAAAAAAGCGAGGTGAGAGAGTGTAAATAAAATAAGAAAAGGGCTTAATAAAATAAGAAGACCGGGTGGTTGGAGATAAAATGAATCAGATATTACAACATGTGTCACAATCTGGTGCTAAATATTATATTAGTAAGGTTAATATGTGGGTTAAGCAATTATATTAAATATATGACATATGTGACCTAACTTATGCACAACAAGAGCAAGATTGAGTCCACCTCCGCAAATATGTACAATTTTGTATAGTGTAATGACATATATGGCCCTTTTCCATTAAAAAATTAACTTAAAGTTATTACTATGTAAAATTTTCTTACTATGGAATTGATTGAATATGTCGGTCCTNGGCGGGGGTGTCTACGGCCAAAGGAAGAAAATCGCGGTAAGATAGTGGTGTACGTGGAACAAGACAAGCCCAGTAGCAAGTACCACACGTTAACTCCCAGACTCAATTGTACAAATATGAAAAGTGAAAACAGTTGCTAAATGCTTACATTTCAAATTCAAATTCGTATCTCCGCTTCAATTCTCATCATGTTTATTGTGAAAGTAAAGGAATAAATACACTTTTCATTTCACTTCTTTTTTCAAAAGAATTCTATCTTCTTTTCTTTCTCATCACTATGTTTCTTTGGTTTGTTTTTCCGAACTGCAGACATTGAGAG